AAAAATGTTTTCCACTTTGTGTGTGAGGAACTCTTCTTTGCTTATAAGTGTTTCCTGTATGTGTCTAAAAAATTTTGTTAAAATAAATATAGCTTAGGAAGGAGCTACAACTACACACTCCTTAAAAAGATATTCATTTCTCCAAATATTTAATAAAATGCTTTGTTTAAATTTAATCATTTTAAGAAAACAATAGAAAATAGACTGCTTGACAAAGATTTAACAAGCTAAAATCATAATGATGCTAATTATAGTTATGAATTTTTGAATCATTTATTCCAGGAAAGCATTATAACTACTCTTTGTCTTTCATTCATATTCATATCTTCAAGTGGTCATATGTTAATCTAATAAACATATCAAGGATTAATTATGACATGGTACTAAGTGAAAACTATGCTTCTTTAAGAGAACCCTTTTATATTTTTTGCAAAATTTTGTCTTCTGCTAATAAGTTAGAAAATCAACTTAGTCATAATTCACATTTTGTCACTATGAAGAGATGCCAGACAGCAATTAAAGATGGACATCAGGGAGTTCTGCACACTTTACAGAGAATTTATGTTCTAATTGACTGTATATATAAATACACACACACACACACACACACACATCTATATAAATATATTTGTTGGGAGAGTATATCAGTCTATGAAATAGGAGGCATACATTCAGTGAGCATGGAATCCCATTTGGAATATTAGGAATCATATGACAGAACTAAAGGGATACCTGTTCTCTAATATCAATATGTCCCGCTTAATTTGAGAGTGTGCCTGTCTCCTGTTGGAACCACTATTTGGAAAGATAATAAGAATTTCCTATTGCCTTTTAAAAACTTAAAATTTGGAATTACATAAATATTGCATGAATTACATAAAAATGTTTGAGAATGCTTTCTACTCGCACTCCCACATACAAACACAAATGCATTCTTTTAAAAAAATTAAATTCATATTTTTCTCATATCAACATAATATATGTGACACATCTAAATTTATATTATATATATCTTCAATGGATCTGGAATTTTCATTATGAAGAGTTTTGAGTTCAGTTTTTCAAATAAATGTGGTATTGTTTATGCCTTTTCTGCATTATTTTGTCCATGTTTTTGTTGTCATGGAAACTTACTTTTTAAAATTTAAATCCATTTATTCTGCTTACTTATGTTTTTGTGTGTATGGCATTTTGTTGTTTATAAAGCTGCTTTAGTAGTCTTTTTATGACTTTAGAGTATCTATTGATGTCTTTTTCATCTTCCTTATTGGTAGTTTTAACTTTATTTTCTATTTTTTTGTTACTTTAACAAGTTTTACTTATAGTTTCTAAAAAATAAACTGATACAGAACTTTTTTCCAATTTTGTATAATTTTTATTTACTTGATTTTTGTTCTTATTCATCCTCTGGGTTTTATATACTCTTGCTTTAAGTTTTTCTAAAATGGATCTTCAAATATCAAATACTTGATTTTAAACTTTTCTTTCTAATATATGCAGTATGTGATTTGATGTGTAATGGCAACCTAAACACAATAATTCATATTTCACTATGTTGTTATTTCTTTATATTTAAACTGTTAGGATTTTATTATTTTTTTGTATTAATAAATTTTTATTGTGAAAATACTGTACAGAGGGGTTAGAATTACATGAGCAAAGTAAGGAGTACATTTCTTATCAAGCATTGTCGCCTCCTCCTTTATTTCCCCTTACCATCCCTACCCTCCCATTTCCCCTCCCCCCCAAAGCTGTAAAGTTCCTTTTTAGCATCTTGTGCATTTCATTGTTGCATTGGATCCACCTGTATCCCTATTTAAACAATTGTTTCTTTTTCCTTCCCCTCCCCAAATTATACCAACATCAAATACAGTGAAACCAGGGGTTATACTGTTAGGGAGGGACATACAAAGCAACAAAAAAATCACCTTATAAATATGTTAGAAAAAATAGCAAGAAAGGAAAATCATTTGAGACCTTATCTTGGGGTTCATTTCCCCTAACATCAACTTATCTGATCTTTTCTGTTTGTCTCATACATATATAAGTTATTGCAAATAAGGGAAACCATGGGACCTATGTTTCTTTGGGCCTGGCTTACTTCACTTAATATAATTGTTTCCAAGTCTTTCCATTTCCTAATAAATGGGGCAATGTCATTCTTTCTGAGGGAGGCACAGAATTCCATTGTGTATATATACCACATTTTCTTGATCCATTCATCTACTGAGGGGCATCTGGGTTGGTTCCATATCTTAGCTATGGTAAATAATGCTGCAATAAACATAGTTGTGCTGGTAGCTTTAACTATGGTCTTGTTTGTGATAATTCAGGTAAATGTCCAAAAGTGGGATTGCTGGGTCATAGGGGAGCTCTATGTGGAGTCTTTTGAGGAACTTCCATACCACTTTCCAAAGTGGTTGAACAAGTTTACATTCCCATCAATAATGCAGTATGGTTCCCTTTGGTCCACACCCCCTCCAGCATTTGTTGTTATTAGAGTTCTTGATTATAGCCATTCTAACTGGGGTGAGGTGGTATCTCAGTGTTGTTTTGGTTTCCAATTTTTTATGGCTAGAGGGGTTGAGCATTTCTTCAGAGAAACATCTCTGAAGAGGAAAGAAAGATGGCCAATAGACACAAGATTTTATTATTTTTAAGTTTGATTTGCAGTCTATTTATTTTGATGGTTCAATGAATAACAATAGTTATTTTTTATTTCATAATTCCATACTGAAAGTTTTACCTACAAATAGTAAAATTTAGAAAAATGTGTTATCTTTTGCTCTTTAGATATTTATGCAGATTTTTCTTCCATTTGACATAGGTTTCCTTCAATCTGAACAGAATATGTTCTTCATTTTCTTATTGCTCATTTTCTTCTCATCTGCTGGTGAAGAAACTTGTTTTCCTGTGATGTTTTTATAAACTGCTTTATAAAAATATAACTTCACTGAGAGAAATAAAATATTTCTATTTTTATTACAGGACTTTAAAGATGTTTACATTACTGTCCCTCTTGCTTTAGGAATGAACTATTGGTTTTTTATGTTTGTATTGTGTTGTATGTATTGTATTCACCTTACCCAATAATCTGATTTCTGTGATTCCTTTTTACATTTGTTTGTTTTTGTTTTACTCTGGCTCTATTTTGATTTTGATGTGCCTTAATATGGCTTATTTAAATTTTGAGTTATAGGTTTTGAAAATTATACTTGAAAATTGCTTTATTATTTCAAATGTATTTGTGCCTCATTGTCTTCTATGCTACTCTAATTAAATTCATGCTTAACTATTTTTGGTACAGGGGTTTAAACTCAGGGCCCCTGGCTCTTTTTTGTCTTTTTTGATTAAGGCTGGTGCTTTAGTACTTGAGCCACATGTCAATTTCTGGCTTTTTGCTGGTTAATTGGTACTAAAAGTATCATGGATTTGTCTGCCTAAGAGAACCCAGCCTCCTGAGTATCTTCCTGAGTAGATTTGCAGGTGTGAACCGTTAGCACCTGCAATGCTTGAGTTCTTAATATTCCACGGATGACCGTTTTTGTTTGATTAGTTGTCATTTTTTTTTAATTCCATGTTTTCAGATGGTCAGTATCCAGACCACTACCTGCATACATTAGAAATTCCTTTTTTTTAAACTATTACCACCTTTGAATTCTGCCTACCCTATCAGCCACCGGAAACTCCCCACCCCAATATCTATCTCTTTGGTTTAATACAGCTGTTCATATTTAGTCTCATGTCTGTTTCTTGAGCTGTGGTTTGGGAAATTTACCCTGGAGGAATGAGAGAGATCATTCTTTGATAATTCACCAGCTCAAGGCACAGTTTTCTGCTTAATAATTCCCAGTGTCTTACAGTAGTATTTTGAATATTTTTGTTCATTCGTTGCTGCCTCTTGTGGAATGGCTAGTTCAATATTCCTTTTCCTCTCATGAATAGAGGATTTAATCTGTTATTACAATGAAATTTAATATGACAATATTTTACTAATCATGAGAATTTTATTTTAAATACCAGGTGTATCATTTCTTTAAAAAAAAACAAAATCTTATTGATAGTCAATTTAAATTTTGGATAATTTTCTGCATTAATTTCCCCTCTTGGTGTTTAAAACTTCCAGTATTATGAGAAGAATAATCACATTTATGTTGCTACTGTTGCTATTAAGGAATAATTACATTAGCAGATTCTCAAGATCAAAATGGAAAATGAAATCACCACAGTGTTCACTACTTTTTAAATTACATTTGAATAAATAAAAATTCATCATGATTTTAAAGAAAAGGCAAACTGAATGACATGTTTCAGACTCTGCTAAACATTGTGATAACTGCTTTTCACAAATTAGTTCACAAATCTAATTCTATATCTAACAAAATATTGTGACATCTAGGAATTCCAAGAATTTGTGATAAATTTTTAACCTTATCAAGTTCGGGACTAAAATCTCACATTTTTAGTGACAACATGATAGTTATGCTTGTGAATTTTGCACTAATTAGCTACCTTCAAAAGTGTGCTGCAAGTTTAATTTAATAGCAAATATTGTTTTATTAAATAGACTACTGAATTGAGCTACTTGCAACTCTGTAAGTATGCACATAATCATTGAATTTATTTGTGTAAAAAGAAGTCAACCTTGGTTTAGAAGATCTGTTTTCCTAAACTCCCACCTCCCCAATCTGGAATAAACATCTCTGTTTTGCTTAACTCTGTAGTGGTATATTTTTTAAAATATTACTTGTTTATGGAATTAATCTTTTGATATCTGTTTTCCCACTGGCCTGAACTCCTTTGTAGCTGTGAATTTTATATTACTTACCCTTAGTGCCCCATGCACCATCTAGAAAAGGATAGATATTTAATAATAATCTCTTAAACCAGTGAAACTATTTGTATAACTCCAATCTGCAGAAAAGTGTTATTCTAGCAAGGAGAAGAGTATTAATAAAGTGTTTGGATGCTAACACCTTTTTTTGTATCTTCTTTTACAGGCTCTTAAATCTGATCTACAATGGAAAAATTCCTTTTTTACCTGTTTTTCATTGGCATCGCAGTGAGAGCTCAGATCTGTCCAAAACGTTGTGTCTGTCAGATTTTGTCTCCTAATCTTGCAACCCTTTGTGCCAAGAAAGGGCTTCTATTTGTTCCGCCAAACATTGACAGAAGAACTGTGGAACTGCGGTTGGCAGACAATTTTGTTACAAATATCAAAAGGAAAGATTTTGCTAACATGACCAGTTTGGTAGACCTGACTCTATCCAGGAATACAATAAGTTTTATTACACCTCATGCTTTTGCTGATCTACGCAATTTGAGGGCTTTGCATTTGAATAGCAACAGATTGACTAAAATTACAAATGATATGTTCAGTGGGCTTTCCAATCTCCATCATTTGATACTGAACAACAATCAGCTGACTTTAATTTCTTCTACCGCTTTTGATGATGTCTTTGCTCTGGAGGAGCTGGATCTCTCCTACAACAATCTGGAAACAATTCCTTGGGATGCTGTTGAGAAAATGGTTAGCTTACATACCCTTAGTTTGGATCACAATATGATTGATAACATTCCTAAGGGAACTTTCTCCCACTTGCACAAGATGACTCGGCTAGATGTAACATCAAACAAATTGCAGAAGCTACCACCTGATCCCCTCTTCCAGAGAGCCCAGGTACTAGCAACCTCAGGAATCATCAGCCCATCTACTTTTGCATTGAGTTTTGGTGGAAACCCCTTGCATTGCAACTGTGAGTTGCTGTGGCTGAGGCGTCTGTCCAGAGAAGATGACCTAGAGACCTGTGCTTCTCCTGCACTTTTAACTGGTCGCTATTTTTGGTCAATCCCTGAGGAAGAGTTTCTGTGTGAGCCTCCACTCATTACTCGTCATACACACGAGATGCGAGTCCTGGAGGGTCAAAGGGCCACATTGAGGTGCAAAGCAAGAGGAGACCCTGAGCCTGCAATTCACTGGATTTCTCCCGAAGGCAAGCTTATTTCCAATGCTACGAGGTCTCTGGTGTACGATAATGGAACCCTCGACATTCTGATAACAACTGTGAAGGATACAGGTGCTTTTACCTGTATTGCTTCTAATCCCGCAGGAGAAGCAACACAAACAGTGGATCTGCATATAATTAAGCTCCCTCACCTACTCAACAGTACCAACCACATCCATGAGCCCGATCCTGGTTCTTCAGATATCTCAACTTCTACCAAGTCGGGTTCTAATGCAAGCAGCAGCAACGGTGATACTAAAATAAGTCAAGATAAAATTCTGGTGGTAGAAGCAACTTCGTCTACAGCATTACTCAAATTTAATTTTCAAAGAAATATTCCAGGAATACGAATGTTTCAAATCCAGTACAATGGTACTTATGATGACACCCTTGTTTACAGGTAAGAAAAAATAAGCATATCATCTGTGTACTTCCTTGTACAGATATGTGTAGGGTATTGTTTATGCAGTACTGACATGATATGAAACTGACATTACTGTTCTGTGTTGTAATTATAACACTCCAAATTTTAAAGTTTTAAAATCAAATACCTGTAAGATAGAGGATGCATATGGGGAAATATTTTGAATGGTATTGTGTTTACAGAGCTGATATTTAGATTTAATACTGTGCTTAGTCTTTCACTTCATCTAAGAGATGTGACCATCAGAGAACAAGAATGATTTTGGTTTAAAAATTCAAAAACATACCAGAACTTACACATCCATACGAGTGTTCTTTCCTTCAAGGAAGTTATGTTGGGAAGCTATTCCATTATCCCAATGATGCTGTCATTGCTCAAAGCACTTTTGGAATTATCTTTAGAACCTTCGTGATTCTATTTTGAATATCCTCAGTGGTGGCAAATCTTCGTCTTTTGAGGGTGAATTTGAATTTTGGAAACAAGCAAAAGCCTTTTGGATTCAAGTCTTGTGAACAAGGTGGGTGATCAAGATGGATACTGCCATTTTTGGTCAAAATAGGATGTAACTATAAAATAATGAGACTGATTCTTCGAGTGATTGTGTGATGTGTATGTGTGTCTCATGTGCCCTGGTTCATAAGACAGTTCCAAAGAGAAAGCCAATGAATCTTTTGAGCAGTGAAAGTATCACTGGAATTAAGAATGTAATTTCTGGGTAAGGGGCAATGATGATGAATTTGCATGTGCTAAGGAAATTCTGGTATGTTTTTGTAAAGTTCAGCCTCATTGATTTATAGTCACATCTTGACTGATTTTTCACTTAGCCATACACATTTTTATTCCTTCATATAATCTCACTTGTGATAGATTATTATTGCCCTAGAAAATGATGCAAAATCATTTTGAATTTTCTTCCGCATTGCATCAATATCTTTTCAGAAATCAGATTATTTTACTTCTGTATGTTGGTTGAGTTCTTGAAGATATGGGTTTTGTTCATGGATGGAAATGATATTTTTTTAAATAGCGTGGACTGTTGGGAAAGATAACTTTAAATTAGCCATATGTTTAATCATAGGCAAGGTTCTAGCTAATTTATTTATCTTTAAGAGGAAGAAAGTAGACTAAGTAATTTTTAGTATGACTTTCATTACTAAATAGGTAAGGAGATATAGCATGAAACACTAGTATCAGCATAAAGCCATTTGCTTCAGTCATGTTGGGCTCTTCATCTAGTTTATGGATTACCTAACCAATTGAAAGATGCTGAATTCTACTCTCAAGTTCCTGCCTTTACTGGAAATTCTATGTTTTTAAGTATTAGTTCTCTAAACATGTTTATGTTTAGGTTTATGTCCTAAATTCTCAGGTTTTAATCTTGCCATGATGAGTAAATTCTTTTAGATCTTAAGAGAATTTATTGAATACTTGATTGATGCTTGATATCTGGAAAGTAATCATACACACTATTGCATGAAATTTTTAAATATATTTTAAGGGCTTAATGATGTCTGGAATTTATTGAACACTTATTAACTCACAGGAATTTCAATCACAAATAGCTATCCTTGGCCTGAAATTGTCCTTACATATTTAAAGCACATTTTACTCAGATAAGTATTGTCAAGTTTCACAGATTCAGTGGTCATTTTCAGTCACAAGCTTTTATTTTCTAAATTAATTTTAGTGTAAGTCATATTTAACTACATCTTTGGAAAGAAGTTAGAAAGAAAGAAGTATTTACCCAAATTTTCTAAAGGTCATAGATTTAGGACAATCTGGAAATTCTCAAAAGTTAGGGAATATGTTTTGATGGAAAACTTCCAACAGTATCAATACTGTGTACAAGGGATTTATTCATTGGTCAACAGCCTTTGTGCTCTGAACATGTTCCTCACTTAAAGATGAAAACATTTTGAGGTTAATAAACTAAAATAGTTTAATCTTTGTAAATCACTTTAGTTTCAAAACATGGTTTTTTTTAGGTATGATTTCATAGCAACTTATCACTGATTTACAAAGTAAGCACTCAGAATTGTGTTTTCATTCTGCTTTCTAATGTGATTGTCAGTGTCTTCTCTTTCCTCAAATTGGCTTTTCATCACAGAGGTGTTGTGAGTGCTAACTGGATTTGTTTAGTAGTCAGATAATGTCACAGTCACACCTTTCAAAAGCAATTTGTCATAAATGATTTTTTTAGCAATGGCTTTTATTAGGAGTTCTGCTTTTCCAAGCAATGTAATTAGTAAGCTTGTCAAGGCATGGCACAGACACCATTAATATAATGCAGACTCTAACAATGACTTCTAGCCATTGTAACTGGGTAGCTCTAAGATTAGATCATTCCCCCATATTTCATATCAGTTATTAATGTGTTTATCTTAATGAGTACTGAGCGAGTGAGAACTAAAGTCATAATGACATTGAACACATTTTATGTCGCTTTAAATATTAACCCAGATTCCATTGTCCTTCAGAATGATACCTCCCACGAGCAAAACTTTCCTGGTCAATAACCTGGCTGCTGGAACTATGTATGACTTATGTGTCTTGGCCATATACGACGATGGCATCACGTCCCTCACTGCTACAAGAGTTGTGGGATGCATCCAGTTCACCACGGAGCAGGATTATGTGCGGTGCCATTTCATGCAGTCCCAGTTTCTGGGAGGCACCATGATTATAATTATTGGTGGAATAATTGTAGCATCTGTGCTGGTTTTCATCATTATTCTCATGATCCGGTATAAGGTTTGTAACCATAATGGGCAACACAAAGTCACCAAGGTGAGCAATGTTTATTCTCAAACTAACGGGGCTCAAATACAAGGTTGCAGTGTCACGCTGCCCCAGTCCATGTCCAAGCAAGCTGTGGGGCATGAAGACAATGCCCAGTGTTGTAAAATTGCCAATGACAATGTGATTCAATCTTCAGAAACTTGTTCGGGTCAAGACTCTTCTACCACTACCTCTGCTTTGCCTCCTACCTGGACTTCAAGCACGTCTGTGTCCCAAAAGCAGAAAAGAAAGACTGGCACCAAGCCAAGTACTGAACCACAGAATGAAGCTATCACAAATGTCGAGTCCCAAAACACTAACAGGAACAACTCAACTGCCTTGCAGTTAGCTAGCCGTCCTCCTGATTCAGTCACAGAGGGACCTGCATCTAAAAGAGCACACACCAAGCCAAGTAAGTTTCTCACATTGCCCGCTGAGAGATCCAGACCAAGGCACAGGTACTCCCTGAATGGAGAATTAAAGGAATACTCTCATTGTGGTAACTCACACAGCACATGGGAACTGTGTCCTAAAAGAAGCATGTCTATGAATGGGATGTCACTTCCATCTTATGTTTCTGATTGTTATAGTGGAAAAGCAACCCTTGCAAATTCTGAGTGCATACTGGAAAGCTCCGTGTAATCTATTATTGCTTTTACATTAAAATTATATTTTGAAAATCCACATAGGAAATTGGAATTTGGGTTTCCAGTCTTGTCTCTGTGAAACTTTGGTAGTAGAGCTCAGGTTGTATACATGCCTTTTAGTACAGTTACAGTTAACTTCCATATATATCCATGTTGTATCTATCTTTATATAAATATAGAGATAGATCTATATGAAGGTGACAAAATACAATGGTATAAAGGGAAAAAAAGTGTGAGTTGGTACCAGTGCCTTCTCTATTTTAAGACCAGCTTTTAGCTTCTGAAAACAGCAAATTGCAAAACAGTGGTTATCACAGAGAACAAAATGTCTTTCATAAAAAACATGGTATTTCTCCCAATTTTATAAAAAGGCCTCTTATGGACAATTGATATTTTTAATGAAACTATATGTTGTGTGCGTGTGCGTGTGCGTGTGTGTGTATGAAGTACTAGTTAACAGTAGCATACTGTTCTCCCCTTCCTAGATTTTTCAAATTATTATTAAAAACTGTTTAATGACTAGGCATCGGTGATTGACACCTGTAATTCTACCTACTCCAGAGGCTGAAGGCCGAGATCTGATGATTGTGGTTTCAATCCAGCCTAGAAGAAAGTTTTGCAAGATTGTCATTTCCAATTTACCAGCAAAAAGCCAGAAGTGGAATTGTAGTTAAAGTAGGAGAGCTAAGGGAGAATCTGCCTAGTTCTGAATTCAAGCCCCAATACTGGCAAAACAACCACAACACAAACACAACGTTTGAATAGAAACAAGCTTTCAAATCTTAAAGAAATAAATGCTCAAAGAAATGATTTTTAGTGTTCTGACAAATAGGCCCTAAAATCATATAGGCAGCAACTTGATTACCTCCTCCAAGTTACTGATAAGTTTCCTTTATGTTTTCCAGATGTCTATATATTTGAAAATACAGACCATGCTTATGTTTCTAGTGAGATGTTTATTAAAAATATTGTATTTCTCAGATGTTTAAAGTCTTACATCTAATCATGTGGATTTCATTTTGTTTGACTAAAGTCATTGAAAATCATTCAAATTTTGATTAGGTTTTCTAGACAATTTTCAGTGACTTAATCAAATGCTGTAATATTTGTTCCTAGAAGTGAATTTCTGTTCTGTTTTTCGGTCTTACAAAGATTTTATGTATTGAGAACAAAAGAAATCAAAAGATTTTTCCAGGAAAGTCATAAGATTATTGTATTTAGTTGTAAGTGAATGATGATAGTTTGGCTTAGAGAGATAACTAATGTTACATATTATCATATCTGAACCAGAACAATTGCCTAGATTACTGAATGAGTTAAAGGAGAAATGAATAATTGACTAGGTGGAAGGAGGAAAACAATAAGAATTTTGATTAGTTAGTACAATACAGATTTTTGCTCCAAATATTTTATGACCCCGAGAAACACAGTCATTCTCGTTGTTCAATTGATTATTTATTACCTTCCTTTATATAACTTGTGTGTGTGCATGTGTATGTCACTCACAACCTAGTTTGCTGCTTGTTATCCCTCACTGCATGCATAAATAATGTGGTTATTTTAATTCCTCATTCTTAATTTTTTTTTTCTTTTTCCATTTTACCTTACCACTTTGATCAACATGAAAACAAACTTAGAAAACACACAAAGTTCATTTTAGCAGGTAATTTGCTCCAAATATATTTTTTTAAAAGAATAGGTATCCCTAAATTGTTCTCATTCTTTTTGAGTAATTACCTTCTAATTTAAAACAACACAACTGCCATTCAACTACTAACGAACTCATCTGAGGTCTCACTGTGCCATATAACGATACAAAAGTTGATTTTACCTGTATGAGTGATATATTTTATTAAATGTGTTTTAAAACATAAGTTTTGAAAAGCAATCTATCAACATAAAGCATCTGCTCTCTAGTGGGGCTGTGAAGGTGGCTCAGTGGTAGAGTGCTTACCTTGCATGCATGAGGACCTGGGTTCGATTCCTCAGCACAACATAAACAGATAAAAGATAAAGCCCTAAGTGGCACTGTGGCTCAAGTGGTAGAGCACTAGCCTTGAGCTGAAGAGCTGAGGGACAGCACCCAGGCCCAGAGTTCAAGCCCCATGACCAACAAAAAAAAAGCATCTAGTCTCTGAAAGATACATATTTTCTCTGAAATTATCTGAAGAACTATTTTAAATGAATTATCTTCCACTTGTCTACAGATAGGAATTATTTTCTTCCTACTTTCTCAAATATTTCTCCAGTTTTAAGCATTCATAAAATACTTGCTTTCGAGCTAATTTTAATTATTTTATTCAGTTCTGTTTTTGAAAAGAAATATTTTATTTCCAAATATAAAAGCATTTAGAAGTAATTATTACAGAGTTCTTATCAATTAATTACCTTCCAGCTTCTAATTTTAGTATGTCCTCTCAGCACATGTAGACTAATGAACTCTAACATGTAATATTTAAAATTTCAACACTAAAAATATTTCTATAAACATTAAAGATAAAACCATAAAGGTAATTGAAATACTTTTCCAAAGAATATAGCAAGTCTGAACTCAGTGACTTTTGGATGAGAGACTTGTAGTTGATGCTTTTAATACTAAGCAAACAGCATCCATTTACAGTGGACAAATGGAATGATACCCCATCTTTCTGTTGCTTGCTTAGCTTTTCCAGTGTCTGAGAGCAGGAAACTCGTTTTCCCCTGCCTGCTTTGAAGGAATTGAGGAGAGCAATGGGTTGGATGGAAAGGAATATTTTTCATTCCTTCTTATATTCTTAATGACCACAACATGTTATTTTATATGATAGAGACACTATTTTTAACATTTTAATAAGTGTGTCATTGAATAAAGAAAATAGAAAAAAATCAGTAAATTCAACACAAGATTTTTTTATATTAGCTTAAAACACTGCCTTTAAAATTAGTCTATTTCTTCCCACTCTAATAAACATATGGTGTAATAATTGCATATATTTATTATAAATAAATTTTATGTAACTATTCTAGTATATTCTATATGATTATATTATATATACTATCTTTATTCTAAATAAATAAATACAATTATTTAGGTTATGCTTCTCCTTTATTTTATTCTTATCTTAAAGGAAACAAAGTGATCCAAGAAACTATCCCAGATAAAATGTGACTGAGTTATTGCTGTGAGTGAGTCATCCTAAAAATATCTGATGATCTGAAGTGATAAAGTAACAGTAATAATTAGGACTATGGATAAATATTGTATTATCATCTCAAAATTAGCAATTTGATTAATTTTTTTACAAATAACAATTCTAAAAATAACCATTGTACCATTTTCTTCTTGTTGTGGTTAGCTACTTCAATATCAAATTCAGGATCTAAAGTTAATATTGAATATGCATGCACATTACCTATGTGCATTATATTTTCATGTTTTATAAGATATTGTATGTACACATATATTTAATTCATTCAAAATAATTTTGTGCTACAATACAAATAAATAATTAGATTTTTGATGAGAGGTAATGAGATTTAAATAATGCTGATTACAGACAAATTCTCCCAGCAAAAAATTTAGTACAAATGGCACTTGACATCACATGAATTTTGTACTAGAGCATATAAATTAATTATTCTAAATTTTAGGATGGTGGGTGCTCCTACAACTTAAGTAATTTCATCCATTCTTTTCGAAGTAATGACTATTCATGTATAGTAAAAATTAAACAAATCATGGTTTCAAATATGTTTGGAAAAGAAGCTGTGCAGTCTTCTTCCTTTAATAGGCTTAGATGCCATGATTCTGCTTCAGAATATATCAGATATGCAATCATTTAGGTAAAATTAAGGAATTCATGAAATACATTTTATTCACTCCACCATAATCTGAATCCTTAAAATATTAACTTTTCTCTATATCTTCGATATCTTTTATTGTTTTCATAAAATCATTAATCTCCAGATGCCATTGTAAATTTATATGACTATTTCAGCTGAAGATTTTGTTAAAAACAACTTGTACTGGTTGTACTTATGCTCATCTGTGAACTGTGTCTAAATCCTTAATTTCATCTGTGCTACTTCTAAATAATCAGTAGCACTTGCTTTATAGGAGTTATACAAAGTAAATGTTTGCCATGAAGAATTATGTAATGACATGGAACATTTACACACAATTTAAATATACATCTGGATTGTTTTAAGGCAGAGTCTTTACATTTAGAAATCATTGTTTTACATAAAAATGAATGGATTCTTGGCTATTGTTGGGAGACTGAATATTGAATGAGTATTTTATATTCTGTAGTGAATAATATTTCCTACTGTGGTTCTTCTTTTCCTTGATGTATTATTTAATCATATGTAATGATATCGTTGAAACATAAATTATGAATAGGGAAAAATAACTAGAAACACAACTTTTTTATTGAATTCTAATAGAAAAAAATCACTTTGAAATTCATTTTATTTTTTGTTTTTTTGTCTGTGTGGGGCTTGAACTCTGGGCCTGGGCACTTTCCCTGAGCTCTTCAACTCAAGGCTAGCACTCTACCACTTGAGCCACAGCACCACTTCCAGCTTTTTCTGTTTATGAGGTGCTGAGGAATCGAACCCAGGGCCTCATGCATGAGAAGCAAGCACTCTACCAACTGAGCTACCTTCCCAGCCCTTGAAATTCATTTCAGTTGCTAGATCATTTATTTTGTTACTAAATCATTGAAATTCATTTAGTTACTAGAATGATAACAAAAATTCTACCATTGTAGTATTATGTAGTAAG